TTTTTGCTCGTACAGTAGCAGCACGAGGTGTACCATAAATTAGTGCCAATTCACCAAAACTACCACCGTCTCCAATTGTGGTTACCATTTCTGAGTTTACGAATACCTTTAAAATTTTAAATATTAAATAAGTTTAATAAAATTTTCATATATTATTTATTTAATTGATTTTTCTTACCTCAACTTCCCCTTGATCAAGTACATAGAAGTTGTCACCCTCGTCACCTTGTTGTATAATATTTTCGCCCATTAAATGTGTCACAGGGAACATTGCATCGAAAATATCTGAACGTTCGTTTTCATCTAAATGTGAAAATAACACATTTTTAGCAATTGCTTTCGAAAGAGCAGCCATTGTCTTATAGTCTTTGGGTACAACTTTTTTAACGTAACTAGTAGCATCTTCTTCAGTGACTGGTTCAGCGGATATACCTCCACGTCGTCGCACAGGTGGAGCAGCTGTTTGTGGCATAGGACTGAGATCCTCACAGTCATCAGGACTGGTTACCTGCTTGGTGGCATCAAGTTTAACTTGTTCCTAAAACGTAAACATATATAAATTAATATTATATTTTTATTAAGTTATTAATTATTAAATATATTTAATTATACTTCATATATGAAAAATCAAAAAAAAAATAGCAAATAAGTTTTATTTATTATGGAAGCTGTATGAATCATTCGCTATGTAGAAACGGAATAACACCTCTTAAATAATTGACTTAAGTATATCTTAACCAAATTTGGCTGTCAAGGTTTTTGTGTAAATAATGTGCTTCAATTTTTTGTTTAACTTTTATTTGGGTTAATGTGATTGATGTTTTATAGATTGTAAACAGATTTAATTGATTGATTTGATATAAAAATCAGTTAAATAAATCACAAACTTTGTTCAGCATTCGAGTACAAAAATAAATGATTTTATACAATAATACATATAATATATTTAAAAAAAATTAATATATAAACAGCAGTACTACTAATTGTACTATTTAAGTAAAAATTTATATATAAAAGGTGTAAACAGTAAAGAAATACTAGTCACGAGATAAATATTTTGAATATTGGCAAATAGTCTTCATCGGTGGTTTTTGTACTTTTTGGATTTAGTTTTTCATATATAATTTCTTATATTGATCGCAAGAATTGAACTTGTGCTCTGTCAAATTTAAAGTGCAGAGTCACATGTTAGACGTCTTACCCGACGCCATACTTGATTTGTATTGTTCTAATTTTAACAACAACTTTGGGTCAGGTATCTAAAATGGGACTCAGGGTGCAAGTTAAACCTTGCTACTAGCAATCTAAAAAATTACAATATATACAAATAATTTAATTATCTTAAAAATATTTCTAAAGATTAGTTATGTTGGATATTTGTCAATACTAACAAACTAATTTTTAATAGAAAAGTTTTTAAACAGTACTCAACAACAAAATTTTATTAAAATATTAAATAATTCGAATATTTCGTAAGACCACTGATGATGAGTACTTGGCAATACTAGAAACAGAAATTAACTAAAAGTTTTTTGTTGCTGTCTTTTCATTTCTATTCGAACCCCTCTGACTTTTAAATAGTTTCTTTTCGTCAAAACACGCGTCACTTTCGGCAAAATAAAAAAATTATCATTAACAAAATTATTTATTTTTAATTCATTAGATTTTTGGCTCACAATACTATGCAGCTGTTTCCAGTATTGCCAAATACCACCCATCATCAGTGGATTTTTTGGAAATATTTCTTATATATAATTATTCGTATATAATTTTTAAGACTGCAAGTATCAAAAATTCAACTTGTACCTTTTCAAATTCAGAGGTCAGCGTCGGTGTTGATTAGTCAACTGACCCAAAACCGTAATTCACTTGTTTGGTCTAAGTTAGTCAAAAATTTGCCAAAAATTTTATTATAATTTATAACTATTCATTCTTAGTCTTTTTAAAAATAGATTTTTTGTTATAATTGACTTTATTAAGATTTTTTGAAATTCAATTATTATCCATTAAGTTTAAAGTAGGGTAGGGTAGACTAATTAGAGCCCGTGCCAATTCAAATCACTGAACAGGTTGGTGAACCGCAGAAACCGAAGAAAAATTAAAATACGTCAATAATTTTAAATTTAGTTTTATTAATTCTATATAAAAAGATAAACTTTTACAATTCTATCAATATCAACATTTAACATTATTAATATTAGGTGTTGCCATACAAAAAATATTTTAGTTTTAATGTAATGGCTTACGGCACTGGATACGAGTTTTTTAATCCAGTTGGATGAAGAAATATATACTTAAGTCTTTGTCGGTTAAGTAAATTAACGTGAAGTGTAATAAAATATTTAAAACATTTCAATTCATTTTTGTGAGATACCACAAAAATAAATTAATAAAAATTAATAAAAATTTGCCTGATTGTGGTAGATTAGAAACATGTCGCGGGCCGCACATAGATTAACCGCAGGCCGCATGAGTCTCGTGGGCCATGCTTTTGGGCAGCCCTGGTTTAATGGATTGCAAATAAAATTTACTATAAAAAATTATATTTTACTTAAAATAAATTTAAGTACAAATTCGATTCGCGTTATTAAATCCATACATTCTTAATATTTTAAAATTCTTATAATTCAAATGTGATTTGATAATATGTAGATTATAAAATAATTAGATATTATCGTTATAAAGAAAGTTTTTAAAAAACAAAATATAGCAATATTTCTCGTTAACACTTTAGTTTTTGTGTCAATAAATATATCATATGTATTTTAAATGAAGGTCTTCGCCGACAATCCAAGATTTAATCAAATTTATTATCGAATAATAAATATTATTAAAAGAGTTTAATTAAAATTTATTTAAAAATCACATGTGATTAATAATTTTAAAGTCATCACATGACAATTTTTACAAACCAATAGGGTAAAATTTTTTTTTAAATTTCGCAAACGCAAATCCAACAAATCAATCAAAATGTTGCAATAAAATATTTTTATTACAATGAACACAAATATATATTTACAGATAAATTAATAACGAAAGTGCGTCAACTAAGCTGTGAGGAATTCGCTTATGAATAGATTTTTCTAAACATTGAAAGCAAATTAAATGTCAATCGCATGTCAATTATTTTAAATATAAAATTATACTGAACAAATGTTTGTGCTCCCACATTTGCTCAGCATAAAAAATTTTTAGTGATTGTAAGTAGCACCGAAATGCTTCATTCAATTACATTAACTGCCAAAATAGATTAACAAATTGTTTCTAATTAATATAGAAATATGTAAAAATAATTATATTAAATGCATTTTACATAAATATTATACTTAAAATGATTAAGATAAAATTAGTTTTTAACACAAAATATTTCATCTTTTAAAGAAGATTAAAGAAGATTTTTACCGACTCAGCAAAGAGGAAAATAAACAATATCCGTCAAAATGGAAGTAATTCAGGATTCTGTAATAATAAATTTAAATTCTTGCAATTATGGTAGGGGAAATAACTATTTTAGAGGAAACGACAAGAGAAAGGAGTCATATATATGTATAGTACGCAAATATATATATATATGCATGTAAATTATTTGTTATGCATCCATACATACAAGTACTATGTAAATTTTATGTCAAAAACCACTCAACTGATGGTAAAGTTCAAAAAGTCACGAATTTTGTACTTAAGCACAAAATCTGGCCGAGGTATCCAAATAGAGTATATAGGAATGCTGGCCATGCTACAATTCAAACACCCACAAACACAAACCTAAAAAAGTTGGCAATCATTACTTTAAGCATAAACTAAAATATTGAATATGCATATGCAAGTTGTTTTGTATTTCCTTGGTTTGCATGTTGATTCTATGACGTAAATGTCGCAATAGCCCAGCGGGAAATATAAACTTTGAAAAAAGTGAGATAACAATTCGTTGCGTTTTTTTAAGGCATTGTATATTTTTTTATAGACCCATTATATTAATAATAATAATAATTATAATAACTAATAATAATTTAATCAACACATATAATAAAAATTTTTTTATCAAAGTTTAAAGTGTATTCGTATTGAAACTTTTACATTAGGAAGATATTTACTAACCGATTTAAGTTAAATATTTCAAATAAAAAATACAAATAAACTACTATGTTATTTAATAACATTGCGAACTTTTATGCTAAAATTAATTTAAGATTTAAAGTGATTTGTTTTTTTTTTTAACAAAAGCCACTTTCCCCCACAAAATTTATACGTCCGATATCCAAATGTTAGGTCCCTTGACATTGGCATTATACGCTGACGATACGTGTATGCTATACTCGGATAAATGTGCCCTCAACATAACCAACTCACTTCAAGAGAACTCACTTCATCCAGAAATGGATGACGTTTATATGCTCTTGAACCAGAAATGGAAAATAAAAATCAATAATGAAAAAAATTAGGCTCTGTTCATTACGCGTAAGAGCAGACAGAACCTGTCGAAAGTGAGAGTGGGAGATATAATAAACTGGGAGGATAGTAACATATTAAATATCTAGGCATCACGGTGTTCAAACGATTCACATAAATGTTCAACTTAAAAGAATTAGCTGTGCCCAAAAGTTCTCATCACCTCCAACCGGTATTCAAAAATGAAAATCTCAATGCTAAGAATAAGAAGCTGTTACATAACCAAATAATTCGACCGTCACTTCTATATGGGTGTGTAGCGTTGAGCAAGGCTTCAAACACTACTATTCACCAGCTAAAAATTGCACAAAGCCAGGCTCTGAGAAGACTGAAAAGGTGCCATTGTACATTAGGTTGAATGACATTCTCTGGGACTTCAGGATCTTCAGGGATTGATCCGACCAAAAACTACATAAAGGATAGAGCCCTGAAACTATTTACAAAAACTGACAGGCTTACTAACATCGCGTTATCGAATCTTATTATAAAATGATTACTGGTTCATCGGGGAGGTATGCAGATCTGAGGTCAGTTATTGTTTTGTCTGATGAAGTGTTAAACAATAATCCAGTCTAGGCGTAGAGAGGGGTTATGAAGAAATCTCGCAGTAAGTAGAGAGTAAAAGTGCTCAAGTGCACTGACTCAACTAGCCTTAACATAATAATTATTCTTATATCAGCATTTTGATTTTCACTAAGCTATGAAATTATTTTACTTTTTACAATAGGTTTTTATTTTGTACTGTTAAATAAAAGTTAGTTAAATACTCACTTTTCAACTAAGTGCGCCGAGTATAAGACGAAACAAAATCGAATAATGCAATTCGTAATTGACATCAATTCAAATTTCGTTGTATAATTTTTATACTATAGTTAATATATATTTTTATATATATTATATATTTATATATTTTTAGAATTAAAACAGGAACTATTATTGTCATTAGGAATATAATGAATTTTTTATAATTAAAATTGTACTGATATAAACTTATCTCAACAATTTATTATTTTTTTAAGTTATATTTTTGTATATTTTTAAATTGTGTTACATAAGTTTTCTTAATTAGTTCAAGTAAATGATCAAGAATAATGAAATTTACATATTATTGGAATATTACTATTTTACTAATAATTAAAAAAAAATTATATTTAGATTTAATTAAGTAAATATAGTAATTTACTTTTATTAATGTTTACTTGCATGACAAAAACTTAAATTTAATTTATAACCAACAAGCATTGCAAATTTCTCTTTACTGATTAAACAAGAAATACATAACATTTTTAGAACGGGTTCCTGAACACTACTGTCACATTGAATGTGTTTACTTAAAGTAATCCATCAGTTATGGGTCACTGAATATATTTGTTATCCGCTGGGTCATTAGCTACACTTTACCTATACTAGGCCTACTTTCCCAACACTATATGGTATGAACAAATTATGCTGTCGTGTACTGTACTGTATAAATGTTGTAAATTGCAAGAATAAATATTGCTGGTATATTAGTTGCATGTTGTTGTGTACCCATAGTATTACCTCTTAAATGAAAACTTACAACGAAAGCAAAACGAATATAAAAAAGAACTGTAGGATTGGCGATGACCAGCAAAGCTGTTCCATTTATGGATGCGTTACATCAGTTGACATGCTTTACATCGCCATTGCTTCAATTCGTTTTTAATGTGACGTAAATAGTTGAGAAATTATTGCAAGTAGTGCAGTCACTTAATTGCATTGCACATAATTACAGTACAATGATAACTTTATTAGTAACAAGTCTGTCAGGCAATACTTTGTATTGCTACATTTATACAATTAGAATGATAATTACAATCGTTTAATATGGTTAGCTTGTTTATTGCAGTCTTGAACTTTTCAAGTTCTCTGCAGAAAGTACATCATTTTGATATTGCTAGCATTTCAAAATAAATTGCATACGTAGGTAGATAGAAATTTAAATTTTATTTTTCTTTAATTCTTAATTCATGAAATATTTACACACAGTATATGTGGATTAATTATAAAAAAAATTAAAGTTATAACTAATTGAAAATCTATTATAGGTGCGGTAGAAAGTGACTCCTGTCGACTCTGTCATGGTGAGAAGGAAACAATAAAACATGTTCTATGTAACTGCCCAGCGGCGGCAAGACGTACATAGACTCGATTACCTTGGAAGCGGAATCCTAGTCCCAATTGAAATAGGTAAAATTAAGCCCACAGCAATTATAAGATTTATAAATAGTCTAAAATTGTCCTAGTTGGGCCTATAGGCGCACAATAGATCTTTTAGGTTGGGGTGCTTTAAATAGCCTATTACTTAATAATAATAATAATAATAATTGAAAATCTATCT